TAAAGCATAATACTATAATCCTATGCTTAAAATGTATTTTCTTGTGGCCGCCTGACAGTAACCTGTAAATCTGGCGCGACAGTGCACGTGTTAATAAGTAAATGTTGTTGAAATTATATCGTGTTTGATATCATTTTCATCAGAAAAATCTCAGCAACATGTTAAAAAAAATTCCAGATGAAAAAAAGTAAAATTAAATTATATTTTTCTATTAGGATTTGTCGGGCCGTGAAATCTCGTAAAGGAAACCGACTGGTGTAGCAGCAATGACGCAGACCTAGGCGTAGGACCATCTATACTGTCACTTGTAGAATCCAAACTTACTGACTCTTGTAGAGAATTTACTGATGTACAAAAATTTTCTGGTGTACACCATAGCTAGAGAAAATAGTTAAGTAATAATTACCAATTACCATAATTACGATAAAATATAAATAGCGATGGAAGAGAAGAATTTCTTAGTGTCTTTTTGTATTATCTATTTCTAATTCTTCCATTTAAAATCATTTAAGACATATCACATTAAACGACGATTAGTCATAATTGAGCCACTCAGAATCCTAAGTGACCAACTCCGTGAAATAAAATTTATCAAATTAGTTTTACAAGCATCTACTTTTCTACTAAAATTGCTACAAAAATTGGAAGAATATCGAAAAGTTAATCATTTTGGCTTCTGAGTGGCTCAATTACGAATTAACACGCCTTTTTTTCTATCTTTCGATACTTCACTTCTACTCCTGAATTTTACGTAACGTGATTAAAAATTTGATTCTAAGAATAAAAAAAAAATCCTTGCGAAGGAAAGAAATACAGTCTTAAACTCCAGGATTCAGAGATATAATTACTTTCTCTAAGTTAATCGTAAGTTACGGAACAGTACATAGAACCAAAATAAAAACGTCATAACAAAGTAAATTCACTGTAAACTGTACGTTCTTTCTTTGTGAAAATGACGGTTTTATCTTTACCTTTTAAAAACCTACCTTCTAAAACTTCCGACGTTCTTCACATTTTACAATCCTTCGTAAATTTCTACGATTTTACAACTCTTTGAAAGTTGTTACAATTTGAAGAGAGATTCAGCCTTCAGACTATAAATACTAGATCATCCCTTAAGTAATGTCGTTTCAGCAGCTCAGTTTCAATACAAGAATAATAGTATTTACACTTACTATTAATCGATGATATATGTATTTATCACAGCTTTCGAGAACTGTTTGCCATTTTTCATGCACCCTTTTAATCTTCTTTTAAAAGAAATTCTTATCTTTAGGATTAACCCTTTCGCGACTAGCGCCGGTTATATCCGGCAACCACTAAGCCCGTCGCATTGGCTCGCGCCTCGACAACTCAAAGTGAAGATTTATTTTAAAATACAGAACAAGGCCTCAACAACATTCTCTTTATCCGATACACCCTTAAGTCCTCTGCTGTCCCAACGAAATCCTCTAAGATTTTAAAAACGCGAGACACTTAATGTGTATGGTATGCACTAATGGCACGACGACCCGTTCGTTAGTGGCGTACTCATGGCTAGTTCCGCCGTCGCGAAAGGGTTAAAAAACTGATCTAATGTTAACTTCAGGTGATCTGAATTTTTGAAGCTTCTGCCATTTGAGAAGTTTTCTAGTGAACGCAATAAATGAGAATCCAATTTACAAGAGAATATCGTAGAAGCGGTATTAATTTTCATTTCAATTATCCAATTTTTTCTATTTCTGTTTTTAAAATCTAATCATTCTCAATGAAAAAGTACTTTAATGCTCCACATCTTCAAGCACACTGCACAAATTTACCAAATGTACTTCTACAGATTGTAAATCAAACCTAGAAAGAATGAACAAAAAAGAAAAATTTTGTTTTTGATGTGTACGAACATCGAGCCAAGATGAGAAGCGAAATTACTTATACACTCTGTCCAATTTAAGAATAACCTCGCTCTCGGACCGATTCTCGTCCGTTCTGCGCATAGACAGAGAGCGTAGCAGAGGGTAGGACGGAGAAAAACGTAGGCGGTTAAGTGGGGGTTTGGACGTTCTAGTGGTTCTAGCCCTGTCTTAGGCACGCCCCATGCGCGAAACAAGGTTACTCTTATTTTGAACGGACAGTAGATATATTATACGTTCTTTCTCAAAAATTGGAGATTAGTCCTTTAAAGCTCCGTTAAACTACCGAACAGTCCGTTAAGTTAAGGCGCCTTGTGGTACATATGGCCCTGCAAGGTGTGCTCTCTTCCCATGCGCGAAGCGAGGTTATTCTTAAATTGGACAGAGTATAGTATACCTGATAATTGCCATAAATCATATTTTCATTGCTGTAGAACGTTCTTAGAGCAACGAGTATTTGCGTACAGTTAAAAAATTCAACTTCCTCCTGAAGATACGCGGATGTAATTGAATGAGTCTCGACGGAGGTAGAGTATCCGCAATTTTCAAGCAATTTACGGAACACGTCAGAGATATTTACTTCTTATTTTACGTTACATCCCAGCGTCGTCGCATAGCGACTTGAGAGGAGCTTGTAAGAAGCAACGACTGCAATGCGACTGACGCGAATATTTCGGCGGTTCCATGTATATTTAATTCATGCGAATGCCGCAGAAGGTTTCGACAGGCAGCGAACGAAATACACGGAATTCGACGTATGCCGGGAACAAATTACAGAGAGACTTTTATTTCACTCCTCGGAGGATTTCTTCGTCGACTTATTCGAGGATCGCTCCTAAAATCTTTAATCTCGGTTTTTGCGAAATTTTGCACAGCAATGAAACGACAGAAATGTAAATGGTATTTGACATTCTTTTTTTTTTACACGTTTCTATTTTAAAAATTATGCGAGAAATTGAATATTTGCTGGCGAACTTTTTGTGATTAAATTTCCAAAATGTTTGCTGTGTTTAAATATTATGATTTTAAGTAATGGTGAAATTTTTTCATTTCTCTGGTAAATGAAGGACAGATGGAGAAAATAAGGAAAGAACAAGTTTCGTTACTTCTTGTGAACTTAAATAAAAGCTCACTTGAGTAATTAAAGTTGCTTGAATTATAGAGAAAATAGGGGAAGTTTGAAACGAATGAAAATACTTCTCAGTATCAAAATTCTTTCTTAATTTAGTTTGTTGTGTTCAGAAAGAGAAGCATGAAACAGTATCGAAATAAATTCATGGATAAACTCACCGGAATGTTTTTTTTATATGTCAAGTTAAATTTTAAAAATTCGCTACTTTAATTCTGTTCTAAAAATTACTCGAGAAATTAAATACCTCCTGTCCAATAGTTTTCGATTCTACTTCCAAAATATTTTCTGTATTTAAACATTTTTATTTTAACCCTAGAGCGGTCTTCGGGTCTTTTTTGACCCACCGCCTTTTTATATTTTTAGTAATTGTTGCTGTTATCAAGTTTGCGTTCCTTAACACTATTTTAAACGTTTATTGTCTAGGTTCATATGTCGCGTTGGAAACAAAAATTATTAGGTCCTTTTTGACCCAAAAGTCTTAAGTGTACAGTCAAAACGGAGACCGCTCTAGGGTTAGGTAGTACTAAAATTTTTCATATTTCTCTAGCAAACAAACGATAGAATAACAAGAAAAGAAGAAATTGCATTTCCTATTTATTGGCGGTAATAAAAGCTCACTTAGATAATTAATGTTGCTTGAATTACAATGGAAATAAGGCAAGTTCGAAAGGAACAGAAGTATTTCTCAGGAGAAAAATTATAGATTTAATTCGACGCGTTTAGAAAGAGGAGGATCAAACGATAACAAAATAAATTCCTCGACGAACTTACCAGAATAAAACAGAAGCCCATTCGGTTGTCTTGTCTTGAATTGCAAGCTGATAAATTCTTGCGTGCTCAGAACTGGATCTCCTTTGCTCAAATCTATCGTGAGGTACTCTGTTCCTCTGAAAGAGGCTTCGGAAGGCGCTTTATCTGCAACAGAAACGGCGAAAAATTTACAGTTAGTCAAAAGGTAAATAGAGCGTGGAAATCTGTTACAAATATAAAGCGTACGACAAACGTACGTGACGAAATTGTATGTTAAAAAATCAGAAAGTCACGTGGAGAAATATGGTGGACCACTTGGAAGAGTATGCAAACGTACGTGACTAGTCGGTAACTAAAAAGTTGATGCAGGTTTGCAAGAGTTTTGTTACGTTTAAACCGGATAAACGACATGTAGTTGTATTTTGTTACAACATGGCCAATAAAGAAATAAACTTTATTACTTTGTACAATTATCGTTGTAAATAAGGTATCTTTATGTAATTCAGTGATTTACACCTTTATTACCGAACTGTTCTGCCGAAATAACGAACAATTGTCGTATTTCATACGTAATTTCATTATATCCGGTGTAATCTGAATTTGCGCGTGTCGTCCGTATTTAAAAGTGACAAAAGACCGAATATATTAAATTTCTATATACAAGGTGTCCCAGTTATTTTTGATCAAACTTCACCAGTGTGTTCCATAGGTATAAATAAGAAGAAAATGTCATATAAACATAGGCTGTTTGAAGCTTCGTTAAAAAGATATAACGAAAATACGAAATACGAATTACTGTAATTTACAATCTGTAGAAGTACATTTGGTAAATTTGTGCAGCGTGTTTGAAGGTATGGAACATGAAAGCACTTCTTCATTGAGAATGATTAGATTTTAAAAACGAAAATAGACAGAATTAAACGAATTTTTGCACTTCACAAATAGAATACCACTGTCGACTGAAAGTCAGAATGTAACGCCAGAATGCACCAAATGCTTCGACTATAAACAGTTACTTTTGTCACAGTACGTATTTTTATTTTTATACTGCACTTTCTAAGCAGTCCTCGCGTTTCGTATTCCAGCGATGAATAATAATTGTTCCACCCAGTACACATCGAGTGTTTTCCGACTGGCGCGTGTCGCCGCGAAAGGGTTAAACGCCATAAAAATACCGCGTCGTCGAAATTCACAAAGCCGGCAGGAAGTTGTGTTCACTTGAACCTCAACTTAATTAAAAGCAATGAGCGGCAAGAGTACGCGCTTCTTCCTTCTCTTTTTCTTTTTTCACAATACACTCGAGCTTTTTAATTCAGTCTCGAGATGTCTGATCTCGGCTACGTCGCAGCGAATGCACGTCGCGCGGCACCGACGAGACCCCACTCATTATTTTCCATCTTCTCATTGTTATCGCGCGACCAAACAAAAGTGTACCGACACCAGGGCCAGGCGAAAAGGCCATAAGACGGACTTTAATGGCTCTGGCGTCACGCCAAATCGCATCGCTTCGGGCTTGAATGCACAGACCCCGCCGATTGAAATGTTCATTACCACCGCAAATCATCCGCCGATTCGCGACCGACAGAACCGCGCCCCTTGCTAACTGTTCCCTCGTAACCGTGCTAACTTGTGGAAACCTTCGAATCAATGACACGTGGATAGTTCCAGCTGAAGCAAAATTTCGACCGTAAGGGAAGAACTGCAGAGGTTTGGTTTTTAAGTTCTACTTGCAAAGATTGTTGCTAAAATTGGTTGGAAATTTTTCGATGGAATAGAACGGTGTGTACTGTTTTGTATAGATACAGGGTTGCTCATATCAATGTGTGAATGTTTATATATTGCTTGTTGTTCAAACGTGAACAATAGGTCATTTTTCCGAATAGACTACAAGCCAACTTATTCAGTTTATTAGTCCTAACTAAAGGCCCATACATCACGACACCACATGCGCAGATTCGCAACAATTCTCGAGGAAGTCACACTTAGAATTAGTCGGGTAACATCATCGAACGTACATATTGAGTTAAAAAACACAAAAACAGTATCACCCACAACGAGGTGTTTAATTGGTTGATCAAAGATCGGAGGCTCTCCCGGTCCGGCATCGTACAGTTATCACTGTTGAGGCTTTCGGGTGTAAGTCATGTCCTTATGGAATTATTTTTCCAACTTTTCGACAGTATTGCAGCTAGCTTCATCAGGGGTCTGAAGACACACCGATGACATCTCACTCGTCAATTAACAAAAACAAGAGCCTTCGCTCCGTTAAGTTGTCGTGAGAGCAGTTCGCGGATTCCGAAACGGTCGAGCACCGTGCCGTTGAATTACCGAAAGAAACACTTGTCAACAAAATTGCAATACCTAGAAGTCGGGGTTGCACAAATCTAGAGATTGCATGTTCGGACTAATCTGAGGAAACAACGACCACTTTTGACCAAATTTTAATTGTCTTTCCCTTTCAATACCTCGAACAATATATGCAAATTTCAAATTTACATGATTTTATTTTCAAGCTGTTGCAACTTCTTTGGCGAGCAGTGTATGTATTTTGGAAAATAGAGAAATATACTTTCGTAAGATTCGCGGATATTAATGCATGCGTGTGTAAATTCACTTGCAAGGAAAGTGGAGGAACCTAACCTAAAAATGTTGATTTCAACACTAAACCTCGCGGGTATGTAGAACGTAATGAAGTATATAATCCGCTTATTGAATTTTTAATTCTGTAACAGTAGAGGAAAAGTTTATTTTGAGCTAGTTGAGGTTACGATCTCACGAATAAGAGAATACAAAATGGCCGATCGTTTTACTCGGTTTTCCGACGATTTTCAACTTTCTTCGCTGAATTAGAAACATTCGTTCAATGAAATTGGTCAATTTCATTCTCGAAGCGAATAATTATACGGAAACTGGTTCGTTGTAATGTGTCATTGTTCGTTCGAGATTTTATTATCAACGGAGCTATTTGAAGTTACGATGTCATGAATAAAGATAGACTGATGTATCCTTCGTTACTGGGCATATTTCATGCGCAATACAAGGTTGGCGATGTCCATTCCGATGTGCTAATTGAATTATGTCTGTCTGCATAGCTTTTGGAACAACTAATACTGCTGTTGACAAACTCACACAAGGTGGGCCATGCAAAACAGGTCACCTAATTATCTTCTCTAACTAGGTACTAGAAAATTTTGATACGTAATTTAAATGTTTATTTAGTTAATTAATATAATTTAACTGAAATTTCGATTTTTGAAATTTGAGTACTTTTACTCTGTTCGGGCGTATCGACGACCGAACAATACATCGGCCTTTCCATAGAAACAGTATTTGTAAAGAGAAGTCTTAGAAGTCATGGCCCGTCGATTGCTTTGTTACAGTAAAAATTTCGAAGACTCTACACCCGGACACCACATGCGTCAAGACCATAAAACAGACCCTCGACACCAGTAATCCTACGTACACAGCAATATAACAAATCTATGTGCTAGGATGTGCTCGTGGTAGTTGCAATCAACTTTCGAGCCTTGTCGATTTTAGCACGTGGTGTGCCGGCTAAATCTAATAGGTTCGTCTTCGAAGGACAACCTCCGTGATTAGGAGGACAAAACAACTATTGCTATTGACTAAACTTCTTAAGAGTGACTCGTGGCGTGGTCAGATGACTACTGGCTGTCCTTTCCGCGAAAGGTCCCACGACACCTCTGTGCAAGGATGCATCGCGGGGGTGAGGCCCTCGGATAGGTTGAATACATTTTTCGATAGCGGTGGGGAAGGGTGGTTGGCGAAAACTATTGGTTAAAATCATAGGTGGGAAGACTACACGAAAATGCCACCCCCCAGACCATAGGTCACTCTCAGGTACCAAGCGTACCCTTGAGTGACGCACGCGGGAATTCCGAGTGCCTCGAACAATGACCGTAGCAGACAATAACGTTAAGACGCGCTTCGGCTCTGGTGACCATATGAATGCAAAAATGTGCAAGTGAAAAAAGGGGCGAAGACTCTAATTCGAAAACGAGACAATGAAAGGTAAAAACAAGTTCTTAGATTGAAAGACTACGATTGCCGTGGTGTCATAAAATTACCGCTGCTACGAAACGAACGAAGGCGGAAAAATATGTACAAATAGAACTACATGCTAAGAAATCTAAGGGTCGGGCGGCTGACATACCTGTAGAGGATTAAACACTATGTAACAACAATTTCCCCACTTCCACACTATCAGACACTCCTCAAGCATCCCAAAAACCAATCACCACACACTTCGACCACCTTCTACACGTTCGAACCACCAATGAAAAATCACACCTAGTTGATAAAAGAGCGAACATAGACACTCCAAGAGAGAGAACTCGTTTAGCTTTCGAAGCGCACACTACAACTATCACGCGACTTTAGTGGAACTCTTCGGACATTAGTTTATCGGGAGAGAGCGACGCGAAACAAATATTGTAATATTTTGTGCCGCATCATACTCTTCTAGTTTCTTCTTTTACTTGTGGCAAACACTGTTGCTCACTTTCTTCGCTTTTCCTACTTGAATTAAATGGCGAATAATGGTAGAACGTCTTACTTTCACGTTGAACTGTATTTTCCTCTCGAAGCTTCTCTTCTTTTTTCCTTCTCCTCTTTACTCTCTCTTTGTTTATTTCGCTATTCTATGTAACGTCTGTGATTCTCGATTTGCATTCTAAAGGAGTCTTTTCTTATGTAAATAAATTAATAAATTGATATATATTGTTTCGTTATATCGAGGAATTTTGTATGTTGGCTTGATTTTTGTAACTTGGGATGAACTTCTGTGTCGCAGAATAACGATTTTATTTACGACAGTATTTACATTATACCTGTGCTTTCTGTAGAATAAAATGAATTGCTTCTTTTTCTTTCTCCCGCAGCCTTTCAGGCTTTGAGGGACGTAATGGAAGCAAAAAGAAACTGTAAATTGCGTTGCATCATGCAACGAGCTGTCGTGATGACCGATAACATTTCTTTCAACCCTGTATTTTATTTTTATACGTAATGTAATTAAAGGAAAATGTTGATTTGATGGAAAGAGAGCGGCGTATGAAAGTTCATTCGAAATATTGACTTCACGTCGATCCACAGTACACAATGCTTTTTTCTCCTAGAATTTCGTCGATTAAACAAAAAGTTTCCAT